TTTTGACATCTATTTTGGTCTTTTCTTCTTTTCTTCCCTTTTTAATGACCTCTTGCTTTCTTCATGGATGATCTTGATGTTATCCCACAATCCTTTGGTTTTTGGTCATTGGTTTTCATTGCATCAAATCTGTTCTTTAAGTGGTCTCTGAATTCAGGAGGGATAGTATCAAGGTCATATTTTGGCTCTTGTGGACTTTAACTTCAATTTGAATGTGTGTATGAGCAGTTGATGATCTGTTCCACAGTCAGGTCCTGGCTTTGTTTTGGCTGAAGATATTGAACTTCTTCATCACCTCTTGCCACAGATGTAGTCAGTATGATTCCTGTGTATCCCATCTGGTGAAGTCCATGTGTATAGTCATCACTTATGTTGTTGAAAAAAGGTGTTTGCAATGAATAACTCATTGTTCTTGCTAAATTCTATCATGCGATCTCTAGTGTTATTTCTACCATCGATGCCATTATTTTCCAACTACTGGTAACTCTTCTTTCCAACTTTTGCATTCCAGTCACCAGTGATAATCAACACATCTTGATTGCATGTTCAGTCAATTTCAGATTGCAGAAGTTGGTAGAAATCTTCAATATCCTCATCTTTGGATATGGTGGTTGGTTTGTAAATTTGAGTAATAGTAGTTTTAGCTGGTCTTCCTTGCAGGCGTATGTATGAATATTATTCTGTCACTGACAGTGGTGTACTTGAAGACAGATCTTGAAACAGCCTTTGTGACGATGAATGCCACATCATTCCTCTTCAATTTGTCATTCCCAGCATTGTAGATCATATGGTTGTCAGATTCAAAATGTCCAAAACCAGTCCATTTCAGCTCATTAATGCCTAGGATAACGATCTTTATGCGTTTCATTTCTTTTTTGAGAACTTCTAGTTTTCCTAGATTCATACTTTGTACATTCCATGTTCCAATTATTAATGTATGTTTGCATCTGTTTCTGCTCATTTTGCACCATGCCACATCAGCCAGTGGACGTCCCAAAAGCTTTACTCTATCCATATTGTTAAGGTCATCTCCACTCTGAGGAGTCAGTTCTTCCCCAGTCAAATTTTGAGTGCCTTCTGCCTTAATGGGCTCATCTTCTGGCACTATTTCAGACAATGTTTCAAGGCTGTTTGTAAAGTTTTCCAGTAATATATCAGACAGTATTTCCCTGCTATTCATAAGGTTTTCACTGGCCAATTCTTTGAGAAGTAGATGGCCTCTTCTTTCTTCCTAGTCTGTCTAAGTGTGGAGCTCTGCTGAAACCTGCCCACCATGGGTAACCCTGCTGGCATTTTGCAACATGGTAGCATAGCCTCCAGCCTCATAGCAACACACAAGCCACCACAGGACGACAAACTGACGGACAAGTTCATCTCCCTTAATTGTTCCTAACTTCTCTGCCCCTGCCTACCTCTGGCCCTGGCCTTAAGATAGAGCCACACCTAAGCAAAAAGCAGCCTCCAAGCCCTGACCTGCCTACTTCAGGCCCTGGCCTTAATATAGAGCCACACCCAAGCGAAAAGCAGCCACCAAGCCTTGGGCCTGCCTACCGCAGGTCTTGGCCTTCATATAGAGCCAAACCCAAGCGGAAAACAGTCTCTAAGCCCCTGGCTTGTAATTAGTAGGGAGTTTTAATGATATGGGGAACTCTAGTGATGTAGTGTGAAAGGCATTTGACTGCTAACCAGAAGGCTGGCGGTTCAAACTCACCAGCCACACCTCTTAAGAAAGGCTGAGCAATCTACTTCCATAGTGATACTACCTTGGAAACCCAAGGAGGGATCTCTATGAGTTGGATCCAACTTGACGGTAGTGAGTTTGGTTTTTTTGCTTTGGTTTTAATGATGTGATTTCTCCCCCTAATACTATATAAGGGTAAATCTTGATTTTGGTAATTTTAAAAAAATAATATTTGCTAGAAGTTTAGGGTGGGCAATCTACTTCCGTAGTGATACTGCCTGGGAAACCCAAGGAGGGGTCGCTATGAGTTGGGTCCGACTCGACGGCACATAACAACAACAACAGAAGTTTAGGGAAATTTCTAAAGGATGTCTGGAAGTTTTGAGCTATTTAGTCTTAAGAAAGTTAGAATGTTAAAAAAAGCATTTGCCTGAACTCTGAAAACAATTAGAACCTTAAAGTCTAGAGACTGCGGTATTATGGGGAAAGGCAATAAAGTAGCATTCACTTCTTTTCAGTCTGAATGGGGATTTAATACTATAATCCAGAGAATTGCCATTGAACTATGAAGTATTAGAGAAATGAGAAGGGCTTTGAGAATTTCTGTGCTAAGATCTGTATTTGCATATGAGCCCTTTAATTAACTAATGTTTGAGATCAAACATTCTTGTATCACAGAGCCTGTACTAGAATTTAGTTCTAGTGTTCTCTCCAGGCCATATTTCTTTCAGAGACAGGGTGAAAGATTTGTGAAGTGAGACAAGTTCAAAAGTGTTTAGAAACGTGTGGGTAAATTGTTTTAATAAATTTCTGAGGAGATCTAGATATTAACCCTCTCTCTTCCCATGGTGGCACAACTATTTCTGACTCATATTATGATTCTGTTTTTAAAAAAATGTGCTTCAATTTTACGTTTTAAATATGTGGCTCTGCGTGTTCTTATTTTCTGAAACTATTGTAAAAGTCAGTATAAAGTTGTATTAAACATTTTTATTTTATTGTATTCAGTAATTGACACTAGAATTTATTTCATATTTAATTGCTTTGGCCAGAATTTTGTAACAGTGTTTCCTGTTTTATTATAGATACTTTTGGTATTTTACCAATAAGTATGATCATGCATACTGGTGTATGATAAAATTCTATACCTGTTTCTATACCTACTTTTTGTTAAGAATGGTTTTAAACTTTTTTGAACTTATTTGAGCATCTGTTGATAATTGTATTTATTTTTATTTTCTTTTAACCTTTTGAATAATGTGATTTTCTAACATTAAATCATCCTGCCTTGAAGAGGAAGAGTTATCCTTCAATAAACTCTGCCTTGCCAAGTGAAGTATATGCTTGAAAATTCTGTACTTTCATTGAGAAAAAATAAGTAAAACAACCTGTCCTGTTGTTTTAGAGGACTGATGGTTAGAATTTTCTAGGTAATTTTCATGTTTTAATGAGTTTGCTTTCTTTTATAGTTTCTATGCTAGAATTTCTATTTTAAAGCATTCTTCTTGAATCTCCTTACAGTGAATCCTTTATACTTCTAAAATTAATTTTCGTATTAATGATAGCAAAGGTTTTTGTTTGCTTTTGATGTTCTTAGTGTCTGTCAATTATTATTTGTTACATTTGAGGTAATAAATGAGGGCATTATAAAATGATGAAATTTAGAAAACCTTGTGTAATGAATATAAATTATTTTCTTTTCCAGAGATTCCAGACATTGTAGATGCTGGTAATCTGAAAACTTTTAGGTGAGTCTGTCTCTTTTGTTATTTCTTTGAAGCTACATGTAAACTACATGAGGCATGAACTTTCTTCTTTTTTGAGTCTAGATTTTAGAGCCAGAAGAAAAGTAGTATTTCTTTTATTTGAAACATCTGATAGACAATGAAATGATTGTGATACAGTATGCCTTTTGTTCTTAAAATACTTCAATATAGTGCTCCAAAGAGCTTGATCTTACTATTCCTCTCCAATCCTTATTTTTTAAGAAAATAATATAACACTAACAGATTTGATGACTTTAGAGTCATAGCCGAGAGCTATTCCATAGCATCCTAGTTTGAGTAAGAAGTTGGTTAATGGTAAGTAATAAAAGAGAAGGTTAAGTCATCAAGAATCAGTTGGTGTAGTGGTTTTTCTAATTATATTTTTCCATGATCAGGGAGACTGTTGTGTAGGATTTCAGCTTTTGCATTCTTCAAAGATAGATTCTCTGTCTTTAAAAAATAATTTTTATAAATGTGAAAAATTGGTCTTAACTGGAACATGTTGATAGGTCTGGAATTTTGTTAATTGAATTTAGATAAATTTAATCCCACAGTTATAGTCTTTGAAATCTTTAGCTTATTTTATAATATTTATACTTCTGAACTCTTAAAAATTAAATCAGTTCTAATAGAATTCTTCTACAATATTTAAAGAGCGTATTTAAAAGTTTACTTTTTATTTTTAGTTCATGTATAATATGTACTTATAATTTGAATACATAGAGCTTAAGATTCAACTTATACCTTAAGTTTTTGCATCGAATATCAGTTCATAAAATATATATATGTATCTTTATTTCTAAGACAGTGCAAATTCTGCCTCTCCCAAAGAAAGCCAGAAATAAGAGATCAGCATAGCCCTTGTTACTATTGTTGGTTAGAGTTCAGTTCTTGAAATATCTTCACATTACACCTAAAGTAATTTGGACATAAGGATTGTCACAGTAAGTGCTGCTGTTGAAAAACTGGAAGTTTTTTATTTAAGAATAAAATTGCTTGATTGCTGAAACTTAACTGTTGTGTACCACCATGTATGAACAGGAAAAAACTTTCCCATCATATATTTTGGAGATTGGCAAGTCCTACTTTTGAGATTCTTGATATCACTTAGCGTGATAGAGAGAGATTCTCAGAGTAAAGAGAGTATAAGAATGAAACAGAGCCTCCTTGTAACTTCTACCTACTACTTTTCTGTCTGGCTTTTGAAGTTTTGAATATGTAGAATTCTCAGTACAGTTATTTCCAGTGTAAATTAAGGAAAAAATGCAAAAAGTGTAATAAAAACAAGTTCCAATTCTTGGGACATTGTTTTTTTTTTCTAGTGCATTTATATTTTTCTTTCTAGTATACTTCTGTCTGCTGTAAATTTACAAACTTCTGTCCACTACTTTGAGAGTTTTTAATAGTGACTGTTTACTTCCCACTTTTCCCTCCACCAACTTTCTTTTGTCCCTAGGGAATGGGATTTTGATCTGAAGAAACTGCCAAACATTAAAATGAGAAAAATCTGTGCTAATGATGCAATTCCCAAGAAACGCAAGAAGAAAAATGTTACAACTGTAGACAAAGTCTTAGAGGTATTGGAACTAAAAGATGAATCCAGTGACTCAGATGAGGAAATGACTCCAGTTACCTAATTGTATTTACTTGAGCTAAGAATAAATAATTTTGAGAGCATCAAGTTATACTCATTGATTATGGCAAAGAATTGCCTAGATAAGGGAATATGCTCGTCAGCTCATTCCCTTACATGAAGAGAGTCCCCTTTACAGTTTTAAAAACTATATGAGGATTTTTACTTAAAACAATGTTATGATGAAAAATGAGAGTTGGTTTATTATTTATATTAACTTGTTAAAATGGATAGAAGCGATCTTCGAAACCCATTTTTACAAATTTGGGGTTGATATGGCTAAAGACAGAAAATGTTTTATTTTTTTCCTATTTAAGACTGTCTAACTTGACAGCAGCAGATTAGTGACCTCACAAACTAAGCCATGGACAGCAACTTTCTAAAAGGGTCTTGTTGATATCTTTTGAACTGCTATGATAGGCAATAAATACTGTCTTTCACTAGTAGTGGCACACTAACTTTCCTCTTAAACATTAACTTTTTTTTTTTTTTTTTTTCCGTCATATAATAGGGGAAAGAGTGATAAGGAATTCATATAGGCTGTTATATTGCACATAATTTTTGCTTATCATCTTTTGAGCCGGAGTTAAATGGTAAAAAATAAATAAATAAATAGTGTCTCACAGTTTGTTGCCTTTTGAGAAATCTGTTATCTTTTGACTTCAGGTTAGCTCCTTTGGGTTGTGTATGATGCTTGTGCATTGTGAAATGTGATGATTTGTTTGTTGAACACAACTGAAGATTATAGATGCATTTCTTTTATTTTCTCCCCTCCTTTTAAGAGACAGGTTAAATTGACACACAATTGCATTATTATTTCAAGTATCAGGAAAAACATATTTGTGGATGTTGTTCTTCACAGATCTTGTTACTTGCAACATATCCTTTTGTCTATTTGTAAAGGATACTATTCAAGTGCATTTGAGTATTTTCAAGAGAAGAAAAAAAATGCTAGTGTAATATGTTAACTAGTTATCAACTAAATCTTATTAAAAGGTTATATGTTACAACTTTTTACTTATGAAAATTAAAAAGTTTATTTCTACAATTTCAGTTCTTTTTAGTTTAATTAATTTTCAGTAATGTAGCTGATTCTTATTTGTTTATAAAAGCATTGTTTTAGGATTACATAATAAGTTCAGGTCTCTTTGGTCATTGTAAAAGTTCTTTTTATTTTTGGTTGATACTTGCTTCATATTTAATTTCATGATGGCTGTAAAAACTGAGTCATAAATTACAGTAAAGGGAATAAGAACTTTTAAAATCTGGTCTGCTACTTTAAAAGCCATGCTGTTAGATGAATAACTTGTGGAAATGGCAGATCATCCACCCCCTCAAACATTTGTCCCTGGTTTTCCCTATGCAATCAAAGCAAAAGATACAACTCAAATGCTACATCTCTAGGAACTAGTACAGCTATGTATTTGCTGATAAATGAATTTACTTACCATTTAGGACTATAATAATCAATACCATATTATTCCTGGCTGGACCAAAGCAGCCTAAGAAATAACTGGCCTTTAGATTGATGTTTTCAAATGATATCCTTAATCACTGACATACAACATTTTCTTTGTGCAGATAGCTTTTGCTCTTTTATCTAGACCTCTTTTTAAATCAATCGCATCTTTGTAAGATAGCTTGTGTAGTACATGGCCATGGAGCACAGAAGTAATCACTGGCATTTCCTTCAGTCTGAACCAGGGACTGGCAAACATTTTCTTGTAACAGGCCAGATAATAAATATTTAAGGTTTTGCAGGCCATATACAGTTTCTGTTGCATATTCTCTCTGTGTTTGTACATGTTACCACCCTTTAAAAATATAAAATTCATTCTTATATCATGGGTCATACAAAAGGCACATCAGACTGCGTTTGGCCCACTTGCCATAGTTGGTTGATCCCTCGTCCAAACCAACAAGCTGAATGTCTGTGGACATAAGTTAATGATGTTGTTGTTGTTGTTGTTATTTGCCGTTGAGTCGGCCCCGACTCATAGCGACCCCTCCTTGGGTTTCTGAGGCAGTATCACTACGGAAGTAGGATTGCCCAACCTTCCTTCCGAGGAGTGGCTGGTGGGTTTGAACCGCCAGCCTCCTGGTTAGCAGTCAAGTGCCTTAGCCACTATGCTACCAGAGCTCCCAAGTTAATGATACATTTATAAATTCAGATCAGCTAACTGACATCTCCGGTCTCTTTTCGTAATGTCCCAATCACTTCTTTGCCCTACTGGCTGTGCTTTTAGGATCATGTTAACCTCAAACATAATGTTAACCTCAAACATTATGTTAACCTCAAACAGAAGCTTTTTGTACTCTGCATATATCCTGTGTGTCTCAGGAGCTTCAGTAGGTGTGTGTGTTCTACTTCCACTTCCACTAATTTCTTCCTTAGTTCCTTGAAGCTCTCTCACTGTTTCCCTCTCCTTGTTATCTGTTTACCAATAAAACCAGTTGCCATTGAGTTAGCTCTGACTCATGGTGACAGCATGTGTGTCAGAGTAGAACTGTGTTTCACAAAGTTTTCAATGTCCTCTGGACCTTACTTACTTCCAAGGCACCTGTGGGTGGACTCAAACTCCCAGCGTTTTGGTTAGCAGTGTTAATTGTTTGTATCACCCAGTGACTAGTTATCTGCTTACCTTCCTGTGAAAACTTCTACCCATTCATTTGAAGACTTGGCCTCTTGGCTGTTTCTCTCTTCTCTCTTATTCCAATCATTTTAGTGATTTTAATACCCCTGTGGATAACAAATCTAATACTATGTCCTTTTAGTTCTCCAGTCTTTTTCTCCATCCTACCTAAGGCACACTCATTGTCATATCCAGATTGTTATTAGCACCTAACCAAACCAAACCTACTCCCATTGAGTCAATTCCAACTCACAGTAACCCTATAGGGCAGAATAGAGCTGCCTGATAGGGTTTTCAAGTCTATAATCTCTATGAAAGCAGCCTGCCACATCTTTCTCTGATAGAGTGGCTGATGGGTTCCAACCACCTACCTTTCGGTTAGCCAAGTGCTTAACCACTGTACCACCAGGACAGGTAATTTCCAAATTACCACCTAAAACTCTGTAACTTGATTTTGAGCACTCCATTCTCCATTCATTATCTTCTGTCCTTCTCAATTGTTTGCTGAAGTTCTACACTTCTTTGACCTCATCTTCTCACTGTATGCAACTATTTCTTATTTTTGTATTATTTCTTACTCAGCTTAGATTCATAGTTCATGATTACTTCCTTGCATGTACCTTTCAGAACCTTTGCCCCTGACTGCATAATATTCATCTTTCAAAGCCCAAACCAATAAGATTGGGTTTATCAGTTTCTTTCATGCCTGTTCCCAAGCAGCTGAACATTGCCGGAGAATAAATAGTCTGAAAGACCGTTTACATATTCATACTTACAAATCGCAAGTGGATTCTCAATACTGCTTAGCGGTCTTCCTGTGTTTCCCTATTAAGTTCAAAGTTTCCAATTTTGAGATAATCATTTTACTGCTTTTTCATGCTTTCTAAAAGCAAGAAAAAACAACTATCCATTTATTTACTATTGAGTTTATTCTAATACAGCTTAAATATTAGCCTCTTGTGGTAGTTAAGTCAACTTGGCTGGGCCTGGTTGAGTGTCTGGTCAGCTGGCTGTAGTTATTCTCCATGTTGAGATTGGAGATTGGTAATTAACTCCATGGTGGAATTTATTGGAGCAGCTGGATAGCTGCTTTAAGGATGTGGTCTGCTTCCGGTATATAAGAAGCAACTTTGAGGAAGGTCTCTAGCTTATGGCATGCTTGGACCCTGCATGTAGGCGAGTCATTGTTTAGCAGCCTGCCATGCTCTGCTGATCTTGGGACTTTCAGTGGACTTGAATCAATGGCCTGCCATGTGGTTTGGTAATATCAGGACTGTGCATTTTTTTAGTTTATTGACTTTGGGTTTGTCAGCCTCAGTGGCCAGTAGCTGCCTGACTGAAGAGATGCCTCCAGCTTCAGTGGGCTGGGAGCAAGTGGCAGAGCTGAAGCCTAAGGTCAACGCTTTCACTCAGCCCATGGAGCTTGGCACTTTGAACTCGGACTTCTGACCTCCAAAACTGTAAGAGAATAAACTTCTGTTTATTAAAGCCATTTGTGGTATTTCTGCTAGAGCAGCACTAGGTAACCAAAACACCTCTAAACCCTAAACTTTCAATATTGACCTTTTATACATCATTGAGAAAGTAGAAGCTATCATATTGTTCTCTTTTTATGTAAAAAATGTAGTATCTTTTCACCTTTCAAAGGTGAATACTCCTATAGCACATCTGAATCCCACTCCCTATTATCTTTTCAGGCACCGTGATCCTCCCTAAATTTTCTTAAGCCACAACCTTCCTACAAATTATCCTTGGTTTTCTTTCTTCTATGCCCTCCCCCCAGCCCCCAGTTTAATTACTATTTCTGGTTCCATTTCCAAATTAATAGTAGCTTCCTAACTGGCCTTTCTGCCACCATTCTTGGTCCTCTTCAACCCATTATCCAAAGTGTTGATTGTGAATTTTAAAAATATATATTAAAGTAGGCTACTTTTGTTCAAATCTTACAATACCTTTCCATTTTAATTGAAACGAAATTCACATTCCTTTTCTAGCTAAAGTAATGTCGTGACCTGATTCCTGACTGACATTTTAGCCTCAGTTTGTGCCCACTTGCCCTTCTTTGTATATCTTAAACATTGGCCTCTCCTTTCCTAGAAGGGACCAACCTGTTTCCTGTAGTGAAACAGCTTCATACTATCACTTTGATGACCTCTGTGTCCACTCAGACAAGGCTTGGTTGTGACTGACCTGAGCCTTGGGCTGAGATTGTCCTGTGAGGGAGGCTTGTAACGAACTGCCCGAGGCCAGTTCTCATTTGCCTTTCTTCCTTCCAGGGAGGATACAGTGAGATAGTTTCTCACTGATAGCCTCCTATGTTCTGATGAAGTATGAAACTTTCCATCTTGCCTCCCCGAGGGTTTAGCTTCTGTTATAAAAGTGCTTAGCTGCAGTGTGGAATTAACTCCTCAGTAATAGGGTACCCTTTCGCTTGTGTTGCATTATCATGCTGTCTGGCCCATTTGGTGTCAACTAGTGGGACAAAACAAAAGCTGGCATCTTTGTTCATCTTTTGCTGTGTAAGTAATAAACTGAACCTAATTTAGGTTTAGGATTATCATTTGAACAAACAGTGACAGCTCCAGTGATCTAGTACAGTTTGATGTAATTTTGAGAGGTAAGAGAAGGTTATAAGAATTCAAACATCTAGGCTGGGCAGAAGAGTAAGCTGATACAACTAGTTTATACCTAAGGCAGAACCTTATTTTCTTTCCATTCAGGATTTGAAGTTGGGGCTCTGGAGAGGGACATTTTCCTCACTAGCACCAAAACTCTCAGATTAGAAGTAGATTTCCAAGTCTTTCATTATTTCTAAGTAGAGAAATGTCTTTATACAGTCTTATTTTCTATAAACTCGCTGCCATTGAGTAGATATTAACTCATAGTGACCCCTTTTGGGTTTCTGAGCTGATAAATCTTTACGGAAGGCGACTGCCCAGTCTTTTTTCTGCAGAGTAGCTGATGGATTTGAACCACCAATCTTCTGGTTAGCAGTCAAATGCCTTAGGCCAGCTTTATTTATTTTTATGTATGTGAAAGTACTTCCTCTGGATCTCATTGTGATTTTTTTAAAGAGCTTTTTAAAACAGGTTTTAAAAGTCTATATTTGTCTTAATTATAAATATGTTCAGACCCTGCTTAAGAACCCGGATCCCTGAAAAATCTGAAATGAAGTGATTTGTCACAAAACTCAAGCCTGTTTGATTGTTACAAATACAAATTTGTAGGAACCAGTAATTTAGGTCAAAAATATAGACACCACAACAGAGGTTTGGGGTCACATGTTTAATATACAAAGTCTTTCTTTCACAGATAATTATTTTCTTAAATTGTCTTCATACACATTATTCACAAAACATTAAATTGTTAATGCAAGAGAATCAGTTAAAATCAAAATAGTACAAATGCCCAATCTCAAAAATTGCACACAGTCAAAATAATGTTTTCCATATTTGTTTTAATGTAATAATTACTTCCAAAATGGGCTTTCTTCTGAGGTGGAGGAAACACTGTAGTCCAAAAGAACAGCACTTCCTTTCTGCTGTATTAGTATGTAAAATAGCACCATTGGGCTGACTTAAGGAAAGGAAAAAAGTTTTCATCCTTAATTAACTTGTACACCTTGCATAATTTTTATATAACAACTACAATAATAATAATGATTGATAACAGTAAGTTTGAAGTGTCCTTCCTTTTCCACAATACTCACTGGCAAGGTAAGGAAAGATAAACTGTGTCAGATAGAATAATCTTCCCCACCCTGCCCCCATGTCAATTTAAAGTCTACGGATGATGTCATTGATCTAAGGAGTTAATTTTCCAGCCAAAGAATAGGTGTTTTAGGTGTACTTAAGGACCTTTTGCAAAGCAAGATGAAATGTAACTCTTGAGACTACCTCTCTGGGACCTTAATCACATGTAACATGCAGCTCAGAGTGAGTTTAATCCTGGGCATTTTGAGAGACTCAGTATATACGTGTGTTTCTTCAACTTCTCCTACATTGCTGCTTCCCAAGTTGTTGTGATCATTTTTGTTTTTATAGTTAAGCTTGATTGCACTTTGCACTTCACTTTTTAAAAAATACTGGAATTTCATTTGTTTAGAATTTAGTCTTTGATAGTCTTATACAATAAAAGTGACAGTTTTTTAGTTTAAAAATTAACAGGATAAATGTGTGTGGCTTATGATACTGATTATACCACAGATTCATGCTTGTAAGAAGCCAAGGTTTTTAACTGAAACTGATTGTAAGTTTATTGTTCAATTCCAGGCCTTTGTTTCAATTCCATTTTATTTCTTACATGACCAGGTAAACATGCCTCAAAAAATTGTCTTTTCCTGAGAGTAGGCTTTGTTTATTTTTGAGGGTTATATCTGTCCCAAAAGCATTACCATTAAGCCAAAAATCCTTTCATTGAAAGGTCAAATATACCATTGCCACACAAAATGTAAAAATTATGTAATCAACATTAGGTTTTAAATGCATGTAGTTCTTTCATCTTGAACCTTAAGGAACTATTGCAGGAAATTTTTTTTAAAAGATTTAATTCAGTAGGTCAGGGTTTAGAAATGTTTGGGAGAATAGCAGAATAAATTGTTGATTTTTAATCTGTTAGGGAAGAAGTGCTGGTGGTGCTGTGGTTAAAGCATTTGGCTGCTAACTGAAAGGTCAGTGGTTCTAGCCTACCAGCTGCTCCAACATGAGAAAGATA